CATGACTTCATCGGTCTTGAGCAAACAAGCATTCTCGCAAGGAGGTATTACAATTAGTAAGCAGCGTAATTGACTTAAAGATGATGCTGTTAAAGCATTACAATGCGTGAAATGCCTTCTATGTCACAACATTCTATTCTGCAAGGCCGGTCCATCATCTCTTATGGAGGTTGAAGCTGATGACTGTTATAACTGGGATAGTTCTTCTGTCAAAGGTCAAAGATAGACCAGTCGAGTTGACAGTTCGTCGGCCTTCCTAGTACAAGGAAGGTTTCTGGTTCAAGGGTTCCCTCTGCACAAGCGCTGCGGCTTCTATGCAGGATCAGCGGCGAGTGGTTTCAGCACTTCTGCCTAGGCAGTGAGTGGTTTTAGCACTTCTACCGCAATCAAGGGTTCAGGCTAAGACAGTGAGTGACTGTCTTAGAATCAGGTATCAGGCTACAAGGGTGGAGACCTTGTAGATCAGGATTCAAGGGGAAAACCCAGTAGATTAAGTTAAGGAATACAACTATGGTACATGGGGTTTATATAGGTAAAAGGGAGCGGTGCAGCCGTGACAAGAATGGTAATAAAGATAGGAAAAAGAGTACAACCTATCAAGATAGCAAAGATATGTGAGACCGCCATGCGGCGCAAGATAGTATCTATGTTACAATCAGGAAGAAGAGAAGTGCAGACAGCCCACTTGATAAGAGAATAGCCGAGTCTAGATGAGTCTAGAGTTGGCGGCATGGTTACAAAGGAAAAATGAAATAGGAGTAAATGTTATTGTAACAATGACTCTGAAAACGATGCAGAGACTGGTGAGGTTGGAGATGATGATGAGGAGGGTTGGGATGCACTGATCTTAGATGATGAGGATGATGAATTGATGGACGAGACCTAGTAGATAGTATAATATATTGAATATTGATCTATTTGACTTCCAAAGCTGTGACTGGGCCCAAGCCGAGCCACGGCTTTGGCTCACGGCTCGGCCTGGCATTTTTGAAAGCCCAAGCTGCCCCAGGCCAAGCCAAAGCCGGGGCTTTCAGGCCAAGCCGGGCCAGCACATCACTACATGCCTCACAATAACATTTTTTGCCTGTGCACAAGTTGGTGAGTTCACAGTACTGTACTTAGATGCCTTTGACCCTACACACCACATAAAACCATCAAATGTCAGGAAAACACACAATCATTAAGAACTAGAGATGACAAATTTTCATATTCCTCACATCAAGGCTTCAATTGAAGGTGAAGATGTGTTCTGGGCCAGACAACCCAGCCCTGCAGACCCACAAGAGGCCCTTAGCAACCACATCCATGTCAATGAACCTCTGCAGGATGGCGTGCTATTTGCATACCACCACAAGAATTCCATTCATCCTCTCACAAAGACCTGTTTCCTCAAGAGACTAATAATCACAATGAAAGCTGCAGGCTGCAGACCCCTGCAAGGACATAGAATTTGCATGGGAGGGACTTTCAAATACCTCCTTCAAAATATCCTGTTCAATGTTATTAAAGTCAAAGGCAGGTGGGCAAGTAATGCTTTCCTCACATACTTAAGACACCACACTCAAATATTAGTGCCATACATGTAAGCCACACCAAAGCTACATGATGAATTCCTGCACTATATACTACCGCCTGTCTGTTAATGATGAATCTTCCCTCACTTCAGTCATGCCAAGTAAGTTATAGTGTTCTCCTCCTAAAAATAGGGCTTTTGCGATGCTCACTGCATGCATTGTCGAAACTCCTAAAACTCAGGATAGCAGCTCACCTTTTTTCCCTTAGGCTAAAGCCTCTTCAAGGCTAGCAGGTGCTGCGTGCCCTCACCCAAAACCCTCACCATCTTATTCTCCCCAAAAACAAGCTTGTACATAGTTCATCCATTCAACACTTAGTTTGAATCAAGTCGTTTTCTTCTCTGCACAAACAGTCTCGCCAAGTGTGAACCTCAAAGATAGTTCATAATGTGCTGTTTAAGTTGTTATTGCACCAAATATAGTTTTATTCATAACATTTGTTAAAAATTGCACAGATAGTCTAGCAGTACATCATGATAGAGATTATCTACAGATCATCAAAGCAATATGTGTTACATATGGATGTTATCTACTCATATCATCATCATCATCAGCATTGTTGTCCAGACTGATCTGCTTGCAACCCTGCATCATGATCAATTGTTGAAGCTGCTCATACCTTAATCTCAAAATTGGATCTGCCCTAATGGTGTTGATTAACTCCAGGATTGTGATGTAGGTGTCATAGAACTGTTGTAGAGCCTCACATCTCCACAGGCACTTCCCTCAAATTCTCCCACTTTCTCTACACACTCCAGCTCTAATCCAAAGGATACATCTTGCACAGTAGCACTCCCTATGTTCTACTTTGCAGATTCCACTGCTGTAGAGATTTGCACTATTGCAGGTCTGCAACACTGTCATACTTCAGTGCATACCACCTGAGTTTGCAGCACCAACTCGCAGCATCATTCCCTAGCCTTTTTCCAGCTATTTCCATATCAGGAGACACTTTCCCATGCACTGTGCAACCCTCGCGCGATGTTCTCGTGCTCGTGCATTGCTCGCTTTCCCGTGCTTTCATCACCCTATCATCCAGGAGCATCCACCCACTGTCCAGCAAGTCTCCCTGGTATGTATTTTCACTTTTATTTAATATGGCAACATATTAGAGCATGGACCCTGACTTACATACCTTATTACATACATTATCTCACACTTGGCTCACTTAGCGAGACACATATGTAGGTCCGCATTTTTCACCCTTACCACATTACACCACTGCTTACCTTAGTGGAGTTCCCTCATGATGTCCATAGCCAGATTCAGAATTTATTAGCAGTCTTTTGTTTTCATTGAGCCCTCATTTATTGCTCATTGCATTTCGCATTTTCGCATTTTTCGCTATTTTGTGTTCCCGTGTCTCGCGCGCACATCACTCGCTTCACACAGCCACTGCACGACTGTGGATTTGTCTTCTTTGCTTCCCCTTGGATTGAATGTGCTTGTCCCTGCAAGCATAGCAGACTAGGCATAGCACTGATCACTATATCAGCTTCTTGTGTCCCTCCCCTTGCATTTACCATTTGACCAACAGCTGAGTTGATTCACCTTCAATGCACAGCCACTCGCACTTTGCGCGCACTGCACATCTGCTTTCACATCGTCTGCATACCCATCCATCCATCCTCCCCATGTCCTTAGATGTTCATTGGTGCGTTTTCTCACTATATTCCCATTTTGACTAATTATTTCCATCGCTAATCCTTGGCCTAGTGCTATGCGCGCAGCCAAGACCCTATTACCTACCTCGCGTACTATATTTAGCTTATTCGGCTTGCTACATCGGACCTGCGTGCCTAGCGGCACTTAGCTACCTTTACATATACTATCCCTTTACTCTATTTTCTGGGTCGATTTTCCGTCCACTTTCTCTGTGTCTTAGATACAAGGAATTTTACTCATTGTTGCCAGTGACTATCTGAGTCTCATGCATCTGCGTATCTGCCTTTGCCTTAGCATCAGCCAACCTTAGTTGGGGTGTTAACAGTCTTTTTGTATTATCTATCCTTACTCTCTCTCACTTGTTCGCCGTTCGCCTTCGCTCGTGTGCACTTACTTTCACATTGTGCACTTCGCCGTCTCACATTTCGCACCCGCACGTCATCGTGTGTGTTTGCCTTTCACTTCTTGCAACACATTTGCCTCACGCACCTTAGTGGTTTATCTCCCTATCATTGGTTTGGTGTTCCTCTATTTATAAAGAAAGGTTTTCCTTTTACTCAGTTAGCTACCTTTGGGTCAACGATTATACTAGTGCCCGGGTCTATCTGTGTTTGCTTAGCTTAGCATTAACTTTCCCCACAGTTTAGATTCCTCTTCTTCGCCATTCATCTGATGCATCAACAGATTTGGACCTGCCTGTGCAATATGCTTTGACAGCATTCTGCACTGCAGCCCTGCCAAGGGCAATGGCACTATTGAGTTGAAGTGGATCAATATACTCATATAGGCTCTTCTGCCATACAACATTGATGATCATCTCAACAAAATTGTTGGCTTCCAAAAACTGACACTACTCAGTGCCATCATCATCCTGAATTAGTGAAGTAAAATAAGTGCTTGTGACAGGTAGAAATAAAAGATGCACCAATTTGAACTTATGTAAAAAATTCAGATCCTTCAGTAGGCCAGGAACTATTGCAATTTTGTGTGCCACCTCCTCTCTAAATTCTGCAGATATAGGTAGCCATAGGTTGAGTGCTGTCTGAACTATATTTGTGGCATAATCCCTAAAGATCCACTGCATGTTTGACATGCAGGTCACCAGTTCTTCATGAAGAGCCTTTTTCTTCTTGAACAGTTTATATTGGACTTCAAAAAAGCATCAGTTGCAGCACAATCAATGTATCAAGAACTCACCTTGACCAATGTTAGGAATTTGGGCCTTCCTAAGGGCCTTATTGATGATGGCCCCTTATTTTTTTGCATCAGAAAAATGGTGTTCCTTTCCTGCATCATCATGTGATGCAGCTCCTCCTTTGTAGCATGCTTGATGGTGTTAAGGGTAGGGTTGTTGAGCTCCATGGCGAAAGTTGAGTTGGGAGCTTGATTGCCTGGCACTAGATTTGGGATATGTACTGGTGTTGGGGCAGTTTCGGATACTGGTGCTGGTGCCAGCACTGATGTTGGTGTTGGAGGCAAGTGCTGGTCTACTGGACGCATTCCGAGTTAACCAACTGATTGTGAAGTATGTAGCTTCTAGTAAGTAGTATTAAATATTGATAAATGTCAAAGTATAAAGAAATGAACATATATGAATAATGCCATGACTAAATTCCCCATGATCAACCTCTCTCTCACAGAGAATGGTGATTCAACTATCTGAGGACTCTGCTCTGGGGGTTGCGTGCAGGGGATATATGCATTCCCAAGATCCTAATGCATATGCTGCTGCACACCATGACTATGGAGATTGAGATCCTGATGTATAGGGCCAGCACTTTCATCCTCTTGAGGTGCTGGCTGGACCTCCTCCTGTGGTGTATCTTGAGGTGAGTGATAGTTGTCTTGCAGCGGGTGGTAGTTGTCTTGTGGTGGGTGGTAGTTGTCTTGCAGCAGGTAATACTAGTCTTGCAGCAGGTGGTATCAATCTTGAGGAGGGTAGTACTGGTCTTGGGGAGGATGAGATTGGTCTTGAGTGGGGTAGTATTGGTCTTGGAGAGGGTGGTATTGATCCTGGACTGGTTGGTACTGGCCTTGAGGTAAATTGTAGTCATCCCTCATCAAGTAATCTTGCGGCTTGAGTGCAGGTGGGAAATACTGTAGTGGTGGTTGGCCAGGCTGAGAATGGAAATTCTGGCTGGAAAGGAGTTGGAGGTTGAAAAAGAATGTATAAGTGGCCATCTTCCATGTTGGCAGGCCAGCACAGGGAATCAGGAGTTTGTGGGCAATCTTGGGGTAAGCCAAGTTGGCTGGTGATATTGCAGCCTGAGGTGTTCAGCACTGAGTTCTTTTTGATTATGGCAGTGCCTGAAACTTGAATAGATGGAACTGACTTTTTGTTTGGCAGATGTTCGTCATGATTAAGATGTTGTTTGTCAAGGGGTCATGCAATCTTACTAGTAGTAGTTTCTTATCATTCACTTACCCAATGGAAAATATATTCAATCATAAAGAACCATACATGATGAGTATACATTAGAAAGATTATATAAAAGGCTACAGCGTGTTTCACATAAGTGGAAAATGAAGAGAAATTGTGGGGGTGCTGATGTATGATGAGATAAAATGGCAGACATGATGATTGGTTGGAAGTGGGATATGGAAGTGATAGGAGGTGATAGGAATTGAAGTGATAGGAAACTTTAAGGATTAAATGGCTTGGCATCAGATTGACTGTGCATGTGTCTTTAATATAGAACCAAAGAAGAAACAGAAAAGACACAGCAACACACTCTCTTATTTATTCACTCTATAAATAAGGTTATTCAAACCACCATCACTGTGAGAGCCTGAGGAGTTGGAATCATCATTCGCTACAAATTCATTAGGCAAGTGTTCTGTATCACTGCTGTTTGCAAATAATGTGACACATTTCCTGGAATGAGCCGTAAAGTGTCTATACTGTTCATTGGCGATATCAAGATTGTCCAAGATATTGTTGATCATCTTGCAAATTGGGGAGGCCTCACTTGCAGACCAGCTGCCTAAAGAAGTCCATTTCAACCTCTGCAATCTGAAGTACTGCTTCTTGCTCTTTCCGAAGTAATTGCATAAACTTCTTCTGCCTCTTGATCAACTCAAGTTTCCAGGACATATGTATGACCACATGTCTCTTGTCCTGGGCTAATACCTGTTTGACTAGAGCAGTCACACAGAAAGTACTATTGGACATATGAGACAAGCCCTTTTGGAGTAGCTCTCTACCCTAGATCTTTGTTTAAGTAAAATATGTTGAGTGAGAAGTGACATTATTACCTCATGTAAGTCTTGCTTGGAGAATTTCTTGTGTAAAGAGTACATAATGTACCTCTTCACAAACCCAATCTCATATTGGAGGGAGTTATAAATAAGGTGTGGCTTATACTGAGTATGCATCTTCTTCTGAAAACACTGAAGATGGTCTTTCTTTGCTAAAGAACTAGAATGTTTGAAGTTAATGAGATGTCCACTGATGGGACAGCTTATGCATTGAGCTGTCTTTTGAGGGAATGATAGGTCTAACTTGATTGATCTGAAAGACATAGGAAGAGACAGAAAGGACATGATTTGGAACCAGAGAATGCTTAGGGTAATGCTAAGTCAACTCGAGTTGATGCTGTATTCCCAGAGTCAAACAGAGGGAGGAGGCTGACCCTATTGTTAGTGGAGCTCATATTTGCTCTGGTATCTATATAGAAGCTTTGGGCTAGAAATGAGGCCTGAGCTGGATGATACCTAGGGATATTGCTGTTAGTAACAAGTAACAAGGTGGAGTTTGAAGGACTTAGACAAATTTTCTCTGTACTTTCTATTGGCAGTGTATCCTTGAGCAGCAGGTGTGACCAAGTCTGTGATTATGAAGGCCAGCAACCATCATGATGGAGGCCACCTGCATTCCTTTGATCTACTTCTGAAGCAGGCCAAGACTGTCTTTGGGCAGTACCACCCATCTTCTGGCTATGTATTTGAGAAGGCACCAAACAATCTTGAGGTGATGGAAAATAACCAATTTGCTTACTGGCAATGTCATACCTCATTCTACCCCTTTTAAGACCAAGCAGAGTTTGAGCTCGGAAAATTCCTCTGTAAATGCTTAATGCAAAGCAATATGGAGTGATTTCTCAAGCTGGAATGGGTTTGTCTGGTATTGGGTATATGGGCTAGTGGACTGACCTTGAGTTGGCAGGTACACAGAGCTAATCTATCATTCAGCTCCAAGGACCAGCTACTTGCATGGGTAGCTTTACTTCCAACTGGACCAAAATGGTGTTCAATAACACTCAAAATTACTGGTATAAAGAGTAAATCCCTGCTGAGCTGAGCAGAAATGGTACTACCTAGACAACAATATTTAGGTAGATCTTTAGTACGACCTATGCTGTTACAGACTTGGATAGTGTTTGTTGGCGATGCTCAAATAGAGCATGTGTCATTAATGGTTGAGGACGTCTCTGGGCTAGCCCAAAGTTAGGAGTCTTACTTGGTGAGGCTTTGGCAAGCAAAGTTTAATGCCTATGTCCAAATCAGGTAGCTTATGTCAAGCGAGGCTCGACGATAAGTGTATCTGCCAAGGCTTACAATACCCAAAGATTAATCGTAAGATCTGCATTAATAGAGGGTCAGAAGTCTAACTAGTAACAGGGGCTTTGCTTATTGACTTCATCGATGAGTAAAGATCAAGACTAAAGACTTATCCACAATGAGCAGATAAGAAAGTAGAATATAGACAGCTGGCTAGGCTGAAGAAATCACTCTTGTTAGGAGTAGGAGGTCAAGAACCAAGTAGATTCAAGTTAAGGAACTAGATACATGGTAGTGAGTTTATATAGAGGAGAGGAAGTGTATTAGTGGATGATGACTTGTACTACTGGAAGAGGAAACTGGCCAAAGGGTGATACTAGAAAAGAAAGGCACATTTGAGGTGAGTCATAGGTGAACTGGAATGTGCAGATAAGAAGTGAGTCAAAGAACAGAAACAGGAAGTGAAACAAGCAGGAGCACAATCGTGCAACTGCAGAGCTAAGTATAAGTACAATGTGCAACTGCGCACTGAGTTATAGATCAAGAAAGGAAACAGGGCAAAGGGAATGTGGCATGCATTGTATCATAGATTACCATCCGGACGGTAAGGGTAGAGGGGACTGTCCACAGGATCAGTCAGCGGATGAAACCAAGAACAGGTATGCTTCATCAGAGAAAGGGTCTGGCCAGATGTACTGGCTCTGCTGGAGTGACAGGTAGAGAGTGAAAGGGAATGCAAGGATGATGAGGATAACAAGAGCGAGGTCAGGGTAAGGGTGCGATGCAAGGGCTGAGATGAAGAGGATAAGAAGACAAATAGTAGGGGCCCAAGCATCTAGATGTTTCTGTAACATTACCCCAGTTTCTAGGACTGAAATCAACAAGTTCAGTTATCCATATTGTCATACCAGGAGGGATCACAGTCGAGGTCACAGAGTGCCTCAATGGCTTCCATGGTGTTCTCTTCTCTGTCCTGTTAAATGCGGGCGGCATCATGGTCATAGGCTGCTTCCAGCTAGTGCATATCCCTGTAAAATGTTTCTGCAGAGACTCCTTGACAAAGGATCTTCTTGCCGAGTAGGCGAGGGCAAAAGGGGGTGAGGTGTCCTGGGGCAAATTGGCCACAGATGTGGCAGAAGTAGTGCTTACATTGTTTTTGTTTGTGACCATATCAATGGCAGACCCTACAGACGAAGTTGCACTGGTAAGGCTGAGGAATACTTTCACTGTGTACGTCATTTAATAGTTTTTGTCTGGTGGGATCTTGACCGGGGACATGCTTGGTAATTGGTAGTCCAAGGGCGAGGATGCACTTGGTGTTCAATCTGCGGCTTCATTGAGGTGAACATTTTGGTGGTGGAATAGGGATGGGTGTATCATCCCTCATGGCAAGTGATCCAATGGAAAGGGAGGGTATGTCATCAGTGGTGACAAAACCTGGGGGAGGGGTGGTAAGATAAGCTTCCAAGCTCGGTTTGTTTTTTTCATTTGTCTTTCTTCAAGGGGGTGTGCAAGTTTCCCCACTCGGCTTTTCTTCTTCATGCTTCTTCTTTCCTTTGTAGGGAGTAGGCAATGGTTCGTTGGCCACTACTTCTTCATTGATGATTGAAGCTCAGAGTTTTTCGAGCTCATCATGTGGTGTTGTTTTTCTTCGTGTTTAGCAAACATGCAATTGATTTCTTCTGAGGTGAGGTTGGTGATGATGAGGTTGGGTGGTTTGGAACGGAATGCTGGAGCACTGCACTTGGCAGTATGCTCGACAACGGTTGCCTATACAGGCAGTTGGTTGTATGCAATTTCTTCTTCTATCTTGGCGACTGTGTCGCCAAAATTCCTAGTAGCTAGGAGGTTCAGGAGGGATCTCTTGGCCATTGAGACCGAGTAGCAAGTGACTAGGGATGGAAGATGGTCTGAACATGGACCTGTCGAGAAAGCGATAGCGTCAACTGCCCGAAAGGCGTTGATAAGTTCCAAGAGAACTGTGTCTTTGGTATGGTGAATAAAACCATTGAGTCTGAGTGTGTATTGTGCATCGAGGATGACAGCCTCCCAGAATGCCTTCTGGGAGTCTAGGGTCTGCGTAAAAGAAACAGTGGGTTCATGAATGAGGTTGATGACAGAGGAGGATAGACCGGTAGAGAGGAAGGAGACTAAAGAGGATGAAGTAGACATGGAAGTGGTGGTAGCTGGTTAACAACTGAGGAGCTTTGTTGTCAGCTTGAGTCTCTTCTTATAGTCCTTGAGCAGCTCCGCTGCAGACTTCAGTTCCTTCTCTGGAAGCTACATTTGTTCTGAGGGAGGGTAGCCAACCCAGGAGTCCAGGTATCGGTGTTTCATTCTGGTACCCCTGTGTTGGAGGATTGCTTCTATTTCATAATGTTCTTCCCTGTCGATCAGGTCCAGTGGTGGTTCTGTATAGTTCAGGCCATGCACGTCTGTTTCTTGATAGGATGATAATTCTGATGCATGGAATGTGGGGTGAACTTGTCAGGTGGCAGGGAGTTCAAGGATGAACATGATAGGGGAAAGGACTTGTTTAATGGTAAAAGGTCCGTATAGTTTTGGTGCAAGTTTCTTTGAAGGGAAGTAGGTGATCAAATGCGCAGCAGATAGCCACACCTTGTCCCCAAACTTCTAAGGCTGGTACTTTTGCCTGAACGTGCATTTTGCCATGCATTGCTGCACAAGGCTATGACATGCAAGGGCTTCTTCATGGATCTTTGCAAGTTTCTTGACTCAATCTTCTGCTGCTGGCAGAGCTGAATCAGGGAAGGCATAAGGGATGCCTTTGGGCTCATAGCCCATCATGAGGTAGAACGAAGATGTGTTCTGTGCAGAGCGTCATCTGAAATTGTGGACAAATTTGGCCATGGGAAGGTGTTTGGCCCAATCATGGGAAGTCATTCTGCAATAGATCTGGAGGTACGTCTCCAGTTCCTGGTTCATTCATTCTGTTTGCCCATCTGTCTGGGGATTATAGGTAGTGGAGGGGGCTACCTGGTAGTCCAGGAGCCGTCCAAGTTCCTTTGCTAGCTTCGAGGTGAATTGTGGGCCTCAATCAGAGATGATCTTGTCATATAATCCAAATCACATAAACACCTTTTTGTAAAATAATTTAGCAATGCCCT